TTTCGCGCTCTCCAATGTGGATTTTCGGATTCGGCGTAGGAATAGGCCCTGGTAAACACCAAATCTCAAAGTTGGTTTCTTGCGCGGACACTGCCTTAAAGTCATTATGTCTACCTACCAAATCCTCATTTCAGATCCGTAAACCAGCGAAGAGACCTGCCGAGGATGAATCAGAGCCAGAACCAGTGAAGAAAGCGAAGCCTGAAGGTGAAGAAGTTGCAGCTGCCGATGCCACAACCGCCTAATTCCATCCGATCATCGGCGAAGATCTCATGTTCATAATTACACCTCAAACTCTTTCGCATTTACGTAATCCGCATAATGCGAAACTAACCTATCACTACCAATTCTCTCATATAATCTCGGTTTACATGCGTGTATGGTTTTTTTGAATCGGTTGTTGCTGGTATAAGTTGTCAATTTATGTGCTATTTGTAATAAAAAATATTTGTAACCAATGTTGTTGGTGCAGGGTATATCAAAGCGCGCAGTTCATGGTACTTACCATATTTGCTTTGGTAAATTCTACGCGATGGCGCGTACATGTGGCCGGTGGGCTAGCAAGTGTTACTCAGCTAAGTCGACACTCATTTGATTCCAAAAAAAAGTTTGCAATAGAAAATTGAATTTATTATACTCTTAATTAGCTCTTTAGTATATGAAAAGTGCTTGTGGAAAATTCAGTGAGTAAAATTTGGGAAAAAGGCGGTAAACTGTTACTAAATTTATGGGAAAGGGTGATTAGAACAATCTGGTTTGTTTCTTGCTTTTTAGAATTCTGCGTCTGATAAAAGACACAGCTAGTCAAGGAAAAGCGTGTGTGTCTCTAATGAGCCGTCTTCTGAATAGACAATTGCAATGCTTGCAATGGCAAAAATATGAAAATCACATGTGTGTCAGGGACTTCTGTTAGTCACCACGTTGCTGTCCACAGGGCGTATCGTCGAATGAACCAATCGACGAACGCTGATACACAGGAAAACGTAGAAGACGACATGATTCTGACATCGAAACGAAGTATTCCGTTGCCTCCATTCAAAGGAGATACTGATAAGGTGAGATTTGGTTTTTCAAACTTGCCTTAGTCCGTTTGCACACTATTCATGCATGTAACTATGTTCAAATCAGTGAACGTTTCAAATTTCAATATCTAAGATGTTACTCGTCAACTCCCGGTCTGGATAGGGCGCTGCGCTACCACCGCAAACGGGCTCCCATCACCCCCGATCGGGAGCTTCAACAGTAACACTTCGACCCATCAAAGACTGGGATTTCTTATTCTTTTGAGAGTAGATATCATCCAAGAAATCGTGACGACGGAATTGGCTGCGGTTGCGCCCACA